AGCTTCTGATGCAAATATATTTATATATATTTATATATTTAAATATATGTAATGTTGCATATTAGCTTCACTTCATTGTATTTAGCTGAGGCAATTAAAATTAACAAAAGTGTGTGTATAATTATTTAGTATTATCTTCCTTGTGTTCATCTAACTGCTAGCTATAGTCTAAATAGTGACATAAGCCATTAATAAATTCAAGGTCAAATTATATTACCTTTCTTAAAAATAAAAAGGAAATGAGCTAGAGGAATTGGAAATAACAGCAAGGCAAAGTTCACAGACCCTAACAGATTTACTAACCTTTGTTCTTGAAATGGATTAGTATTCATCATCGTGCTGTGAATGTTTCCTTAAATAATTTCGATGCCATTGCTTGTTCCTTAGAAGCACTTCATCAAGGTTCTGTGAAGTCAGCAAAGCATGGATAAATACTGACACTTATTAGAAATAAAATAAACAAAATTGCTGCTCCATTACACTCTAGGTAGATACCTTTAAGTTTCTGCTCAGTTGTTTAAAGAACTTCCAACATGCTCCTGAATATTTAGTTCAATAATTTTGTGCATCCTGAAGTAGAAAAACATGAAATGACAAAAAGCCCATTTAGGTGTCTCTTCACACTGAGAATATTTATTCTATTTCCATTTTAGCAAGATTCCTTTATCATAGGTGGCCCAATAAGAAAGAAAGCAGATAAAGAAAAGCCATAGCCTAAAGCACATGGTTGTCATATGTGAAGCAAAACCAAAACCATAGAACTTAATGTAAAATATTAAATGTTAATAAATTCAGGGATTCGTTTCTTTTTTTCACAGGTGAATTGAATGTAAGCACCTCATCTGAATGAAGTTCTCTTTTCTAACTAGCTATTTCTTTCTAGCTGGAGTAGTACCTCCTGAAGTTAATAAAAGTATTATCATCTGCAAATGCTAATATGTTAACCAAATTCAAACCATTGAATTATTTTACCATGATTTTTTCATTTACAAGTATGGTTAATACAAGTTCCTTACTTTCTTGGCTATAATCAAAATTACAAAAAATATTTCCCCTTTGAATTTGTAGTAATAAGTAACTACAGAAATATTTTGCTATTGCTAGTCTTAGGGGTATTGGTAGCTACAGGAAAATATGAAAAAGCCCAAACCAGTTCCTGATTGCAATCAGTCTTTAGCTATTTTCATAATTCAGATAGAAGTCAATATAATGTTGGCAATTTATTGCTTGGTCTTGCTGGGAGGCATCGTTTTACCCTGGGGGAGCACATATCTTGGGAAACAGTTCTATTTAATTTGCAACCATAATCAAGTGGTGTGATTTTATTTATGTATGAATTTTATTTACAAATGAATTTCAGCAATCTGTGGCTCACAACCTTGGATAATCACACTGCAAGGGCTTACAACTATTCTTATGAGTAAAATGACTGGGATTTTCTATGGCATTCATCCACTGCTAATTAGCTCAAAACTTCCATTATTGTTGCCTGTCACTAGTTTCTGAAAAGGTTTTTTACTTTCACTTGCTTTGTAAACCTGAAAGAGACTCACAATTTTACTACACAATACAGTAGCTAGCAGTAATTAGAACTATTGTTTTCTTTTGGCATTTTTTGCTTTTCTGTTAACACCATTTACTTGTCAGGAAAACACCCCAGTGGTTTTGAATCAGAGGTAGCGTGACATCTCCCACATGTGGGCAAAGAAGAAGACCCAAGATGTGCTGAGAGGATACTCATTCTGGAGGTTGTAGTAGAAGTTGAACCAAGTTGAGGATGCCTCCTTGGACTGCAAGCTGCTTGTACTTGTATGTGCTGTCAGAAGACAACCTCCAGAGCAATCCCAAGAACTGTACTCCCATGTGACAGTGCAAGGTAAAGTCCATGGGAAGAGGCTGGGCTGGGGTCCTCCTAACATTTAGGTTAATTTTGGTTGTAACACAGGAGCATTATAGACAAAAGACCTGTTTGGCAGGATCAAGATCAGCTGTCCACTGCTGTGCTTTACTGCCTTTGAAGGAGAATCAGAATAGATGGAAGTTTCCATCTTTGGTTAGCTAGGAGGGGATTTAGATTTCCTGTGATTTAATCCAATCACATATGCCTAGCAGAAGCAGAAAAGGTTTTTCCGTGTAGTCTGTAAAATCATTCTGGAAGTGCAATACAACTTAAGAGTAAAGGGATAAGTGGCTGCAAGAGGGCACTGGAAGTTCAGCTTTAATTATAAAGCCTTAGTCATATTCCACTATTACATAAAGGCTCCTCCACACCTAAGAATTTCAAAAGTGGTGTTCAAAAATATCACCTGTGAGATACTAAGATGTATTCAGTAATTGCTACACTGAAAATATGCAGTGTAATCAGGAAAGGGTTAAAGGCTCATTCAAATTGAAGAATTGTTCTTAATGGGTGCAAAACTCCATCTGCTTTCACAGTGTGAACAGGGAAAATTATGGTACTATCTATGCCATCCATTTCCTTCTCCTCTGATGCATTATAATAGCATCTAAAGAAAGAACTAGCCACCACATGATTTTCTATATTATGCAAACTGAACTTTTCAAATCCTTGAAGAATGTCATTAGAAGCTGTCAGTCTTGTATGTGGATCTTTACTGGTTTTGAAAGGTGACACTTAGAACTGCAGATTGCAGTTTAGCTTCTTTCTCTCTCTCTCTCCCTTCCTCTATCCCTTCCTTTCCTTCCCTGCTCCCTTGCCCTTATCATTTATTTTCTTATTCCTTTTATTTCTTTGCAATAAGATGCAGAGCTTTTCAAGACAACATAAAGGGACAATTATTCAGATAAATTGTCTAGGAGAGCAGAAAATGCTTTTCCCATTTGTTATGCATTTAAGCAAGTGCTACAAGAAACAAGAGACTTTAACACTGTTTACTTCTGCTGAGCCAAATAGTCAGAACTATCAAATGCTTGTGGCTTAGTTGTTCCAGGCTTACTTAACCTGGAATGCTTATGTTGTGTAGCTTTAGTACATATGTTTGCTTTGCTATCTATGCTCATGAAACGCACACGTGAAGATGGACATCATATAGCATGAATTACAATGTCCGGGGTGAAGAACAACTTAGTGATGCTCTGTGTACTGTAAAGGTTAAGCCTCTTAGCCTGTTGAATCACAATGAACATTGTTTTAAATCCCACTTTTAATAGAAGGATTTTGTTTTCTTTTTAAAGAAAAGCACCTGGCCTGAAGGTCCGGCATCTGAATTTTAACATAGGCTTTTGAACTCTTTTTCATTATTATTTACCTAAAGAGCTATATTCAAAGAAAAATCTGACTGCCTGCTTAGTTCTGGAAATATTAAATTACTTTCCCAGATTGTTCAGATTGATTCCTAGTTTAGGGATCTCTGAATGTCACTGTGCTTATATGTCTCTATGGGGTATGAGACCACAATCCAGCTACAGCAAGAGATTCTCACCCTCAGATTCCCAGGGTGACAGTCTCTCCCCATACCTTGAAGGGGGTCCCACTGTGAGAGGGCAAATGTGTGACTGTGGTCCCAGCTGCCAGCTCCAGAGCTTCCCCTCACAGCTCACTGCCCATTCTATGTGCTTAAAGCTGTCTTTTTGGGCCTCAGAGATTTTTCTCTGTTGGCTACACAGTCTGTCAGGAAGAGAAGGCATCTTACAGCCTGATACCATTGGTCTCCTTTATGATGTAAAAGCTGTGGGTTCAAATTATTCAGCATTTGAGGAAGGGTGGTTTGGGTGCATCAGCTTACTGGTTCTTCAGCCCTCTCATGGTACCTAGTTTTATCCCACTCTGGGAATTTTTAAAATTTAGGACAGCAGTCTGAAATTTGCACCCAAGTTTCCACATTTGCCACAACTGAAGATGGCAGAATCTGAGGCCTTCCACCAAAAGACTAAATTAAATGCTTGGAAGTGACTCTTCCAGCCATCCATGTGGGTCTGCTCCAGTATCCTTGACCTAAAATGATTATTTCTGAATAAGAAACCAGGAACTGAGGAACTATTTTGCATAGGTATATACATTGCTTTCTGATTTTCTAATTTCTAATGAAGCACCAAACAGTTTGAGACTGTAATGTATTTATTTTGTGTTTGTAGAGGAACCTACCAGACAGCAGAATTTTTACTATAACTGCCTTTTTAAAGCTAAAAGATCTTCTCCTTTTTAAATTATTTTAAAAGTGGAATTTTTTGATATCCAGCCTGTTTAAAATATCCTCAGCGGATACTCTTCACTGCCATGTATATCAGGTGTTGAGATATAACAATAAACAAGGTTTAAGAAATCTCGGGCACTTTATTGACAAAAAGTTTTCTTCTCAGACCACAATTTTAGCTCTTTTTAATTTACCACTGATATATGTCAGACTGTACAGCATCTGGAAAATATTTGTTTTAAAATTAGTAGATTGGTATTGTAAAGGAAAGTTGGACAGAGGTTGAACATTGTGCAAGTAAAATAATGTACATCAGCTTCCAAAAATAAAAGGCAAAAGTATTAAGAAATGACACTGACAAAAGTTCAGTGATTGTTAAAACCACAAATCATCAAATCAACTTTGCAGAGACAAAGAGGTAAGCTGATAACCAAAGTTATTATTTATGACTAATAGCTGCAAAGCAATCTGATATATGTGCAGACCTGACCACTGGGAGATATCCTCAGCCCCAGGTGCTCTTGCCCCATCAAGGCAAGCAACATCCTGCTGTGGGCTATCAAGGACAGGGCAAAAAAGGGGGCATGATTAGACTTCTGGACGTCTAAGGGATCACCAGAAGCCTTCCAGTCCTGCCAGCAGCTGCACGTAACATGCAACTTCTTTTCACTGTTGCTATTCATATGCAAAGGGGCTTGGTATCTAGACATAACTAAAAAGTTGTAAGATCCAGGGTATAAAGTGGGATCTTTTGCTTCACTCTTCCTAAGCTGCTGTGCTGTGTTGCTCCTCAGACAGCCCTCAAGCTATTGGCTAGTTGATTTTAAACAAGCAAGACCCTTGCAGTAAACAAACACAGTCATTTTATTTTAAATGTTCATAGGGGGATTTACACTGCAGGACTGATCTGACTATCTGATCGCAACAATAGGAAATTCAAGAAGCTTTTTCCAGGGTTCACATGGTTTGTGGTTTCTGGTAAGCTAAATGTACATCTTCCAAAAGCAAAGTGAAAATATATTAAATATAGCATGGCCATAGAAAAGGAGAACAAAGACCTGGCACATCTCTCTAATGAAGTGCATGGCAAAGGCTCCTTTTAATTCATCAGGAATGGACCACAAATAAATAGTAAGTCATAAATATTACTTATGTACTAACACAGTAGACTAATTAGACTCATCTGAGACAAAGAAAAACCACACCATTTTATATGGAAATTACGCGCAAAGCAATTTACAAATAGTTTATGTCATTATATATTAATCAACTCTTAAAATAATTGTAGGTGCATTTCCACCATTTGTCATAATACAAATTCTGGTCAGAGCAAGGAATACAATAGCAAGATATGTAGAGTGTATTTCTACTGGCAGTCAGCATAGTGCTCTGTGCCTGCAGTCAGAGTCAAATCCACCTGTTGCATACCCACACTCTGAAATTCTCTTTTTCCTCCATTTCAATGTTCTTGGGTGAGAAAGTTTTAGCAATATTAATCCCTACACTGCAGCATTGTTAATTTTTACTTAAAAGGTTCCCAAAAGTTTTAAAGATAAGTTAGCAATAATAACAAATAATTTCAAAGATTGTGTCTGACCCATTCCTTAAACTTCTGGCTAAACAAGTTAAAAATCCTGGTGAGACCCTGCACTCCAACTACTACAAACTTGTTTATTCACAACTGGCTTACTTACAGGATGCAATCTCCAAAGACCTCATGCTTGATCATTTCATTTTTGTCACTAATTTGGTACATTATGACACAATGAAATACTGGTCACTGAAAGCCAGTTTATATATAATTCTGCATTTCATTTAGACAAATTATAAACACATGGCCCAACAGATGACTGACTTTCTTTACAAATCTCTCCCTTCTCTCTTTGCATATTTTTCACCGTATATGCCAACGGTAGTGAAAACAGTTTTTAAAAGTGCATCCTTCATTAAAAAAATTGACTCTCTTCTTGTTTACTAAAATACTTAACCATGCTTTCTGTCATGAAAACAAGTAATTCTATGGTCTGAATTATGTGAGGGTTCAGACATGATGGGCTTTTTTGTCATATTATTTATGATTCTATGAATAAACCAAAAAGTAAATAAAATGAACAGCTAAAAATCATCTGGCACAAACTGAGCTTCAGGTCATACTGAAAACTGTATCAATTAGTACAGTTGACAACTTCTGAAGAGTTCTCTTAAACAGTGCAAAATGTTTATTTTCTTCCATGAAGATGTGTAACTTGAAGAAGGAATACCAGTGTCAAAGCCTGATTTCATGGTGTAGTGCACTCATGGACCTCTGTAGACATTGCCATATCCAAGGCTAAGGTTACAACAGCCAATTCTGTATTGGGAACATTAATAAAACTCGGGAACAGTTCAGGAACAGTTAATAAATTTCCTTTGGCTGAAAAACAATTGCCACATGATTATAATACTGCAGAGCAGACCTGTGGAGACCGAAAATATCACATCCATTGGGACTGGTAAACATAAGGCCACAAAGAGGATTGTCTTCTCTTTTTCATGTTTCATTAAAAAAGAAAAAGACAGTTTTACAAACAGAAAAGAATTCATCCCAAATAAAAGGGACAATAATGAATCTATTAGCCTAAAATGAATATGTTTGTTTAAAGACAAAATATTTCACAACCAGGACAGTAAAGCACTGGAGAACATTAGCCAGGGAAGTTGTGCAGTTTACATCTTGGAGAGTTTTGAGATGTGACTAGAAAAATCCCTAAACAACCTGGTCTGAATTCAGTGTTAACCTTCTTTGAGCAAGAGATTGGATGAGAGAGTCTTCTGAGATCCCTTCCACTTGAAATACTCTGTGATTCACTGTTTCTGCTGCTCTTGAATAATCTGGAAATTACTGACAGAATTAGAAGGTCATACCTGGGAACCTTAAAGTAAGAGCATTCTCTTAGCTGTTTGTCCTCTCTGTGTCTGCAGGCCTGCACAAGCCAGGAGCTCCTGCACTGCACATTCTTCTGGGAGAACACCATATAGTATAATCCAAGGTTTGTATCTTGGATTAGTTACTTGCATAAGCATTTCCCACTGGTACCTGACTTCATTTAGCCAAATGTTGCATATCTGTAATCATAATCATTGCTGCAGGGGATCAGTCATCGTTATTTGTATAGTGGCAGCTCCTGATAGGGCTAGTGATGGCCATAGCCTTATTTTACCACTGCATTAAAAAAGGTGGGGTTGCCATCCTAAAGAGATAGAAGCCTCAGTCAGGCTTAAAAGAGTAGTGGCATGCACAGACAGCAACTACTTACACAAAACCATCATCATTAAGAAAAAGTGCTTCTTTAATAATTCACTGCAGCTGAATCTGCAACTAATAGCTAAAGGAAGCATACTACATATACAACAATACGCTGTATTCTGGCATTATAGAAGTCATGACTGACATCTCTAAATGTGCACTATCAAAAATAAATGTAAACTATGTAATCAAAAAACGAGCATTTTTTGGTTGTTGTTTTTAGGAAAAATGGATAATTTACACTATCTATAAAAGACAGATTAAGGTTTACAACTATCATGCAGGTGTCCCAAGGCATGATCCAAGCTAAATACATGCAGCTTTCATTCAGACTACTAGCTACATGCTCTTTACAAATTATCACCGGTCTTCCCAACAGGTGATAGTCCTTTTGGTGAAAAACATGTAACAACCAAATAGAACATCATTATTTGAAGATATCTTTGAACTCCAACTTCCATTCTGACTACATTGCACTGTTTTGTGTTTAGAACATTACAACACTAACACCGTTTAGTAACCTTAAACTGCCACCTGTTCTATAGAGATCATGAGCCTGCGGGCGAAGATGCTCTTCATTGACAGTTTGAGTGTCAAATCTTCAGCACTCTGTCTTATGGTTTCATTCATCAAGGGGATTTATCTCTACTTTTGGCAGAGAGATATGATGATCATTTAATCTCCATTTATATAGATCAACTCAGATCTATCAATACATGTTGATCCAGAGAAATATTAATTTTTTTAACTCTTGTTTTCACAGCAGTAACGATATGTTTCAGTGAGGTCTTGGGAGCAGTTAGACTAAACATATGCTTAAGTATGTATTCTCCTTCCAGGTTACAAGGTGTTTAATAGATAAAGTGCTGTTTAAGTGGTCATGCTGCTATTCTCCATTTTTCTGTGCATTTCTGACAGGTCTGTAAACTATGTGTTCAAGAGAGTCCCCTGCCTGATCTTTTGTTTATGATCAACACTGTTTCAAACAGAGTTTGAATCTAGAAAACAGAAAACTAATATGTTCTCTGACAACCCCCAAATAAAAAATAGCAAGAACACATATTTGAAATAATAAAATGTACATTTCATTATTCTGCTACCCTGAGAATGGGGGCAAACTGCCGGTGATAATGGCTATGCACATTTATTTTTTTTCCTTCACAACATGAAGATATTAAAATTCAGACTAGCTGAACTAGATTAGAAACCAGATCTAACTGTGATATTTAGAAAGTCTAGCACTCTTCCTGATTAGACTCTCAGACTGGATCATCAGTCTCTGGGACTGTGAAATATGGCATTTATAGTAATGTAAGTCCTTATCATTGTGGTGACAAAAAGCATTTTAAGTGACTCACCACATGTGAGAAAAGAAACAAGACTTTTTTTTTTTTTTTTACAGTCCAGTGTCATTTGTAAATGGACTGTTTGGTAACCAGCTTGGGTAAGTATAGAGATCAAATATAGGCACTATCCATGTCATAATTGCAAGCATAACTACAGCAACTCCAATGATGTTAATGCCCAAACCAGCTTTCACCTGAAAAAGAGGGAAAAGAAAACAGAAACTTACATCAAGATACTGAAGAAAATTTTTAAAATGTTTAAAATCCCCTTTAGGGACTTTTGTTTAAAACTCACCATGTCCATAACAGTTAAATGACCATATGAAAATACGATGGCATTGGATGGGTTTGATACAGGAAGCAGGAATGCGAAGGAAGTACACAAGGTAGCAGGTATCAAAATGAAAAGTGGATTCACATGAATGGCTTCAGCCTATTGAAAAATAAGAGAGTACAGCTGTCAAGGGATGCATTGCCAAATTAAATACATAAATACAAACTTCTTATATTACCACAGGTGAACTGTAGATAGAACTGCTAGTCTAAATAGTGAGAAATAACTTTTTTGGTAACTTGTTTTTTGAGATTATATCTGAGAATGCTTCAGAGGAGAAAAGATAGTTCTTTAAATTCATGCCTGATGTTTTCTGATTGTAGTTGAGTCCATAAAATAAGGCTATTGCAAAGGCTGCTCACATTTCACAGGCACGAGAAGGAAAAACACTGCAAGAAAGATGATGAAGTTGCATTTGTATGCAATTCGTAAGAGGAATTCAATGAGGGATTCAATTCTGTTTGATATCTTTATTGGTGATCTGAATAAGGGGATCAAGTGTACCCTCAGTGAAGTTGCAGATGACACTAAGTTGGGTGGGAGTGTTGATCTGCTGGAGGGTAGGAAGGCTCTACAGAGGGATCTGGACAGGCTGGATCAATGGGCCGAGGCCAATTGTAGGAGGTTCGACAAGGCAACGTGCTGAGTGCTCTACTTGGGTCACAACAACCCCATGCAGCACTACAGGCTCGAAGCAGAGTGATTGGAAAGTGGCCCAGCTGAAAAGGACCTTGGGGTTGACAGTCGGCAGAACATGAGCCAGCAGTGTGCCCAGGTGGCCAAGAAGACCAAAGGGATCCTGGGCTGTATCAGAAATAGTGTGGCCAGCAGGACCAGGGCAGTGATCATCTGCCTGTACTCAGCACTGGTGAGGTCACACCTTGAGTATTGTGTCCAATTCTGGGTCCCTCACAACAAGAAAGACATTGAGATGCTGGAGCGAGTCCAGAGAAGGGCAACCAAGCTGGTGAAAGGTCTAATGGGTAAGTCCTGTGAAGAGAGGCTGAAGGAGCTAGGGTTGTTTAGTCTGAAGAGAGGGAGGCTCAGAGGAAAATCGACAGACTAGAAGACAATCAGTAAGTTTTGAAGAAGAAAAAATCAGATGTTTTGATAAAAAGGATTAGAAGAAAGGACTGAATTGAGCTAAGGACAGAAGAAATGAGAATTATGTGTAAAGCACATCTATTAGCTCTCTCTTTCCTGACAACCTGCAGTGTTAACCACTTTTGCTGAAGATATGGTCCTAAAGAAACTCTAAGAGATCTGTCCTTTTTAAGAGCTTCAGATCTTCACAGATAGTAATAACAGCATTAATTTTCATATGTTGAACTGTGCCGGATTTTGCTAGGGTAGAGTTAATTTTCTTCACAGTGGCTAGTATGTTTTAGATTTGTGCTGAACACAGTGTTGATAATATAGAGATGTTTTTTCCTCCTGCTGAGCAGTGCTTACACAGAGCAAAGGCCTTTTCTACTTTTCTTACTGCCACAGTGGCAGGGAAGTTGGGGGTGAGTGGGAAATTGCTAGGAGACACAGCTGGGACAGGTGACCCAAACTGACTCAAGGGATATTCCTTATTATATGGCCACATGCTCAGTATACAGAGTGGGGGGAAGAAGGAGGAAGCAGGAGGATGTTTGGAAGGTTGGCATTTGTTTTCCCAAGTAACTGCTATGTGCGATGGGGCCCTGCTCTCCTGGAGATAGCTAAACACCCACCTGCCCATGGGAAGCAGTGAATTAATTCCTTGTTTTGCTTTGCTTGCCTGTTCAGTTTTTGCTTTCTGAGTTAAACTTTCTGAGTTTATCTCAACGCATAACTTTTCTAGCTTTTACCCTTTCAATTCTCTCCCCAATCATGCTGGTCAGGGAGTGAGCAAGCAGCTGCGTGGTACTTGGTTGCTGACTGGATTTAGACCACGACATGAACTTTTATCTAATTTTACTAAATTTTCCACATCCTTTGTAAGAAATACTTTAAACCACCAAGTATCCAATGCACAATACAGAACAGGAAAATAAACTGCATGAAGTATTTTATGGAGACTTTTAAAAACTGCTTCTTTAAGCAGTTGTATTATTATATGGATGATAGAGCATATTCTGATTAAAAATAACATTTGTTATACTCACCAAAGGAGATAGTATGGGCAAAAATATTGTGATGGTAGCTGCATTGCTGGCTACTTCCGTTACTGAAGTGACAATAAGACAGGATATCAGGATAACCAACCACAATGGTAATGATCCTATAGGGGTCAATTTACTTGCTACCCACTCAGAAAGTTTTGAAACCTGCATAAGGAATATGGCAATATTATTATGTTTAGCAAGTCATTGTAAGAAAAATTTTAAAAATGTTGTAGAAGAGACTTTACTCATCTGCTACTTGCAAAATATTTATGTAAAAGAGAAAAACACTGGAAATATTTTCCATATTCCTACCACATATTTTTAAGCCCATTTTTCTAATTCAATTGTTCCCTATAGGAGCCCATGCAAACTATATTCCATTTATTTATATTTGTACCTCTGAGATGGTTAGTAGAGTCTTATCAGAAAATGGTAATATGCATATATCAGGCTCCATCACCACAGTCTGGGTCCAAACCTGCTTGATTTACTTGAGTAACCACCATTGTTCACATAAGAGGTACTTCAGTGACATTTGACATTAACCCTAAGGCTTTGGAAACAGTGTGTCTTCAAAACTCCTACCGCCATCAGGTTTAAATTACATAAGAAACAGTAGTCATCAGTTGTCTTAGAAGACAAAGGAAGCTTCTTTTTTTGTAAACCTGCTTTGTGAACATCTTGAATATTCATCACATTTATCATGTTCAATATTGCTACAGAATAACTTGCTAAAACAAGATAATAACTGAATTCACTGCATGTCTGAGTTGCTCCTGATGTGGGTCATGCTATTTGTTCAGTATCTTCTATAAATTGCATTACCTCACAGCCGTCTGCCAGTGCAAACCCGCCACCAACGAGAATAGCTATTTCCCAGGGCATGCATGACTGAAATTCCTTCCAAGTAATGAGTGGAGTGTAACCAAAAACAGCTAGAGAAAAAAAAATAATAAAAAAACAAATCCCCAAACAACATTTAAAAACATATTGACAAGCTCTTGAAATAATCTCTCTGAGGAAGTACTTGGGAAAAATTCAAAGGCAATCATTATAACATGAAGAAAGCCTCTGATGGAATCAACCTTCAGTTCCGGGGACAGATCTTTACTGGGGAAAACTGTCACAGCTTGGAGACATAAGAGCTGTAACAGTTTCCACCAGTGGAACATTGGCCCCTTTCCCCTCCTTCCCTATGTGGAAGATAGCTGTGGGATATCAGTGAGTTTAATTTACTCAATAAGACTGCACTATTCACAGATTGCTGTGCAAAGGCTGTTTCACTTAAGCGCATTTAGGTTATGGTCTTGCATTCTCTATGAACCCCCAGATCTCATTGATTTCAGCAGCACAATTGAATGCATAAAGAGGACAAGCTAGAAGTATACTTTAGGGAATATTTCATTTTGAAGAGGAAAAGTTACATGATAATGAACTCATGTACTATTTTGAATTTTATAGGATACCTTAATTAAGCAGTAAAATTTTCCAAAAATAAGCCCAGCCCTGCCCATTCAGTCCCGTTTCAAAGCCCGTTGCAGTCAATAGAAAGGTTTCTGCCTGTGGTGATGGGCTGCAGGCAGCAGGTTCCTGCACAGCACTAGCTCCTGATGTTAACATTGCATAATTGTTGGCACTGACTTCCAGGCCAGGGATACTTTATATCCCAGTAAAATTTTATCCTGTATTAAGATTTTAGCATTATTACTTAACAACATTCCTCTAACCAGTGCAATAAGTTCTATTTATAGTAGCATCTTAGGTACATTATTGTAGTAAAATCTATATCAAAATATACTCAACTGTTTTCGCCATTTGAAGTCCTAGACAATGTTTTTGCTGGAATGATAAAGAACAGGACACCTATCACTAAGGCAGCTGTTGAATCCATAATATAGCTTTTATACCTAAGGAGAAGTTAAAAAGGAAAAAAAAATCACATAAATATACATATTCAGGAGGAGAAGAGGAAAAAGACTGAGGAGGAGAATAGAGTAGCAGAGAAGAGCTGCTGTAGACTTGACCAGAACCCTCTATTCCCCATCCTTTGCACCACTTGATGTGGTGGAAAGAGGCAGAGGTGTAAGGAATGAAGGAGTCAAGCTGAGCCTGGAAAAAAAGAGGGTGGGTGAAAGGTGTTTTAGTTTTTGGTTTTGTTTCTCACCTTCCAACTCTATTTTTAACTGGTAATTAAATTAATTTCTCCCATATCAAGTCTGTTTTGCCCATGATTGAAACTGAAAAGCAGTATCCCTGTCTTTATCTTGACCCACAAGCTTTTTGACCTTATTTTCTCCCCTGTCCTGATGCCAAGGAGCAGTGAGAGGGCAACTGGGTGGGCACCTGGCAGACAGTCACAGTCAACTCATCACATCTGTAGAAATATTTTGTGCAGTCCCTCTAAATTCATAAATAAACATCTTGAGTAAGTATGTGTTGTTTTGCCACACAGAAAGGGTGACGTTTTTGTAGCTAAGAAAAGGCAGCATAGCTTAATTTTCATCCTCCTATGGCTGTCATTACTAGGGTCATAGTCACAAGGGTCATATTTGTTTTGGTCACTTCCAGTGCCTGAGAACTGTTTGCACTACTGTTTCTTAAGCTAATTCAATATCCTTCTAACTTGTACAGAGTAGCCCTAAGATCAGGCAAGGTGCAAAGCTGAGCTCTAAGGCCATTTTAACACATCCATCTGAGTCTGTTACAGACTGTTAGAAGGCGACATATTCCAGTCTCTTATTTCAGTCAAGATGGTCATTAAAAATGAATCAAAATTTTACTGAAGAAAGTTAAAGCAAACATTTTCTTAACTTTTGTTATTTTTTCAATTTTCTGCAAGTTCTGTAAGATTTTCTGAACCAATATACCAATATATTTGTTCTCTTAGCCTCAGACCATATGCTTTTCTGAATATACAGCTACAGTAGGTCCAATAATAACTTCCCAGCAGATCTTCCCAGCAGCTTACTGTTTTGTACTAAATAAGGGCTTTTCACTGAAAAGAAAAATTTTTCTCCTGATTTTATGCTACAAACGCATGATCTGATAGATCCCTTTGCTTGGTTAGGTGAAATTCAAAAAAGCTTAATATGCATAGCGCACTGACACCAAAACCAGCATGGTTTTAGCTAACATTGTCACAAAATGAAGCTGCCATAGAAATTTAAGTGATTCTCTAATTTGTGTCTCCTGCTTCCTAGTGTCTGCCTGCATAGAAAATACATTTTGAAAAAACATATTTGCTATGGTTAAAAAATATATGTTGTTATGGTTATATAGTCAGAGGGTTCTGCCTATATATTACCCTTATCCTAGGACCAGATGCGCTGGGTCTAAAGATCCAAAATCTCCTCCTCTAGGATCCCATCCTGCATTCTCTTAAGACTTGCTAGGACTTTTGAAGGAAGGCAAGGTCTGGACACAGAAACAATTCATGCTGCCACTTTCTTCTAGGCAGATGCATTTTTATAGAATGTTTGATTTTGTTAAGGGGCCTTGGGAGGTCATCTGTTCCAACCCCTCCCTGCTCTGGCGGAGGGGAGAACCAATTGCCCAGGACTCTGTCCAGAAAGTTTTTTAATACCACCAAAGATGGTGACCCCACAACCTCTCTAGGTTGCTGTTACAAGTAAAAACATTACATGATGTTCAGGACTCCTGAAAGTTTCAGTGTGTGCCCATTGTCTCTCATCCTGTCAGTGGGTGCCACTAAGAAGACCCTGACTCTTTCCTCTTTGCTCCATACCATGTAGATTTAAACATTGTCAAGGTGCAACCCCCTTCCTTCAGGGGTCATTCCTCCCCATTTTGCATTTACACTTTGCATTTATGCTTGTTGAACTAGGGAGGTGCAATTTTTTGCTCACAAAACTTAGCATTCCTGATGCAAAACACCATTCTCAAAAATCCTGCTTGGGACACACACAACATCCTACCATTAGTCATACTGTTACGAAGATACACACATGATACCATTCCGAACAGAACGAGATAATATTTTTTCAAAGTACATTTATCCAAGTAGTAATACAATTGCACATACAACGTCTACCTGTTTATAAACTGCAAATCTGATTGTGGTATAAGAAAGCAAAAAACTTGTTGATTCAGGAGATCTCACATGACTGCAGCTGAAATAATTGTAGAGAACAGGGCTGTCGGCAAAAATACATAGTGGTCTTGTATTAGAATCAAAGAAATCGATAAACCATGCAAAAAAAAAGCATGAGTACATTCAAGCAATAATCTAAGGAAGAAGGAGGGAAGCCCACCTTGCAGAGATCAGCTGTAACCAGTTGCAGCCCAGTGTTGAACTTACTGTTTCTTATAAGGTTCCTGTAGTCCTGGCCAAAGGCCACCCTGGAACTCCTCTAATTGAAGCTAATACTCTACAGCCTGGAATCAGGCCAGGACATAGAAGGAAATTGCTGTAGCAGAAATTATGTGTGATCCTATGCTATCAACAGACGGGGAGGAAACAAGCATTTTTAGCCTGTGCTGCTCTCTGTAGTGTTATACAATATTTATTAAAACATCTTGCTGTTTTCTCCCAGAGGGAGGTAACGGGCACAGGACAGGACAGCAAAGGATTGATTAGTCTTTAATAGATTTACAAATTTTTCTCATAAATGTAATTTATTTTTGAAAGACATCTGATAAAGCTGTTAAAATGAGCTCTACTCAGCACTGATACAGCACAAATATGGATTAAAAATTGGCTGACTTTACAAAAATTAGCTTAAAAAGTGGGAAGGTATCATGATTAAATATGAGTATTCTGCTGGGATTTCAAAAATATCAGTGTTTGCACAATAAAGAGCTTTGAGTAACTTGTGAGGATGCACACAATGGGCTGAGAACATGAACATGGATTGTGAGAGTGATAGGAATGTCTTTTCTGAAGCAAAACAAACTTTGAGTATTTGGTTTGTCAAAGCAAGCTTATAAAGAGATATGATTACCTTATACATATATTTTTAAAGCAGCAATCACAGAAAAGTTTTTAATCCAACAAGAACATGTAGCTGGAAGTTATATTCAGACAGAAAGCAAGATGTGAGTTTGACAACAGACATGACTACCCACCAGGATAGACTATCAAGGAAAGGAGTAAATTCCAAAATCCAAGGAACCTGGGCTTTGCCACCCTGACATCAAGACTGGTTTCTTTCTGGAAATTCATGTTCTAATACAATGAATATCTACTGAGCTTAACACAGAGAACAATGTAGCTCTCCTGACCTTCAGCATATTAGAATAAAGGATCAGACAGACATTTCTGGTATTAGAACCTGAGAGTGGTATGATTTCCAGCTAATAGGACTCACTCACTGGTGTGGGATGGTCTCATACTTATAGCTCTGATATTGTGGCTTTTCATGAGGTCAAAGCTTTTTTCGGATGACAGAACTCCCTGAGGCCTGCTCAAGACTGCAGGATATGATCCTGTGGAAAGCAAGTACTATCAGATTTCTGTAAGGGTGGAGACAATTTCCTTATACTTGTTTCCTGTGCCATAAACTTTAGGAAGTTGTGCACGTGCCTATCTGTACACTTAAATCCAGAACACTGAACAATTTTGTGTGCGCGTACCTTCAGGAGTGAGTGCGTGAGGGATATGAGCTACAGCTCATTGCACTGCTGGAAGCCCACACATGTCGCATCACAGTGACAGAAACATAGTTCCTGGGGTTTGAGTTCTTTTTCCTGTTTCTTTGTTGTGTTTCTTTGTTTTGTTTTTTTTTTTAAGAAGATGGCTTGCTCCCAGTTATACCTGTGCTGGACCCTTACCCCACTCATGTATCTTGGCTGAGTTTTCGTTGCTCAGAAAGTATAAACCTAATTGCCTGGGTTTATGCCAGTTAATGTAATTGATTGATAAAGGAGAGCTATCTGGAAATAGACAAGTTCTGAATAGTTAGAAATGCTTTCTTTCCTCCTGAAGGGTGTAACAGAATCTTTATTTCTCTTCAGGCTACCTCATGCAAGTTATAACATGATTCAGCCTAACATGACATGACATGTGATTGCATTCCCTTCCAAGGAAAACTTTAGAGGGCATCCACAAAGTAATGTCCCTGTGAAGAACCTGTAACCATGCTTATTCTGAGAATGTTCTGTATTTCCCTGCCAGTGAAAAAAAAATCCTCAGGCAATGGTAGCTAGGTTCAAATATGAATATGTGGCTCTCTGGACTGAAAAAAATAATTTGAGCCATAAGTCCCATATTTGAAAGGTTGTTTACCATGCCTGTTTTTCAGTATCAGATGTAGCTCTTTAAACAGTGCTCAATGAGCACTGAATTTTAATATGAAGCAGGAAGAGAAGCCAAGCCAGCCTGATTGCTTAGCTAGCTGATTGATTGCTTGATTAGGTCAACACTCCAAAACCCCTTCAAGAATGCAGTGTTTCATACGAGACAATGATCATTAGCTCTGCTGTTGTTATGGGGGGTAGTAAATGTTCTTTTGCAATTATTTTGATAATTAAAAGTAAATAATTTTAAAACAATCTTAGTTTTTAATACGCTTTATAATGACAATTTTTGCAGAAAATAATTTTGCTTCATGCTTTAAATGTTCAAAGTGCTACAATTATTCCTGGTAACATCCACTCCCAGGCTTTCTGGAAGAGCCCTGGGGAAGGTGTGTAAGTGCATGAATGATGAAAATATATTGAAAGCAAGAAAGCATGATGGATACAGGTTCAATGTCATTTATGACAAATGCCCACGAAAACAAAATTGGAAATTACATCCTAGTCCAGCACTGGCCTTTGGGCCATCCAATAATAAATGTCAAATCCGTAAGGACCTAAACAGCACTAAGTCCTGCTCATCCCAATCCTGCAACTACTTCCTACCACTCCAGAGCAAAACTCAGACCTTTATCGAAGAAAAAGAGAACTGAAATTACAGGAAGTACAGCAAGAGAAAAGGAGATATCACAGTAAAGTTCCTGTAAGACTGACTGATTACTTAGGAAAAAAAATCCAGGTGATCCTGGAGAACCTGAAACAAAAAGCAAAACAATGTAATAGTTCTTCACTTTTTTGTCATTAGTTGAACTGTGATGTTGAGGGAGTTATGTATGAACAGAAAGTAATTTATAGCATTAATTTGAGCTGCCAAAGCAGGGGATGTTGGCCTGTATGCATACTAGTGTGGCTGTCACTAAGTGCAGGAGATCAAAAAATTCTAATCAAAGATTCATTATTGAAATTTCATGTTTGATGAGGAAGTGGGATACTGTGACATTAATCATTATGCGTTCTTCCTCACCAGATCAAGTCTAAAACCTAGGCATAATCCTTCCTAGGAGGCACTTACCATAGAATCATAGAATCAGCGGGGTTGGAAGGGACCTCTGAGATCCTCAAGTCCAACCTTTGATCCAACACTGCCATGGTTACCAGACCATGGCACCAAGTGCCACATCCAGTTTCATCTTAAAAACCTCCAGGGATGGAGAATCCACCACTTCCCTGGGCAGCCTATTCCAATACCTGACCACCGTCTCCATAAGGAATTTCCTCCTAATATCCAACCGAAACCTTCCCTGGCAGAGCTTAAGACCATGCCCTCTTGTCCTACTGATAGCTGCCTGGGAGAAGAGACCAACGCCCACCTGGCTACAACCTCCTTTCGGGGAGTTGTAGAGAGTGATGAGGTCTCCACCGAGCCTCCTCCCCTCCAGAATAAACAACCCCAGCTCCCTCAGCCTCTCCTCATAGGACTTGTGCTCTAGTCCCTTGATTTTATCCTGTAATGGGTTTAACACATTTCAGCTATTGCACACATGCATATGTGAAATCTCTAGAGTTTATCTATACTGTATACACTACAAAGATTTGCATCAACCTGGAATATTTCTGAAATATTGCAAATATTTTCATTTTTTAAAACTGAAAAGAAAAGAAGGTATGTAGTTAAGACACAGTACAGTTCTCGCTGCTGTATCAAAAGAGACAACTTACTCTGGGAAAAGTGAAGACCACCCTGGGATGAAGCCAGGATCTCTGGTGAACCACAGAATGGTCATTAGAATGAATAGGACAAGTGTAACAGTTTCTGGGTAGCTACAACAGAAACAGAATGAGTTATCAATTTTCTTAAATTCACACTTTTATTTAATTGCTCTTGTTTGCAGATTTATAGTTTGAGATACCTCATTGGTCCAAGTTTCTTATACTCCTCCTGAATCACCCGTGATGAGGCCTCTTCTCTAGCTGTTTTCTTCTTGCTGCACTTGAACATGTTTTTAAAACTGGAATGTAAAGCAGCAGTATTGCTGAGTGTATATTAGTGTATACAGAAGAAAAACAAAAAGTCTAACTTTTCTAATATCAGTTACCAAAAACACTTTACGAAAGGAAAAATGTCACTTTACAGTACAGTATCTCCAATTCTATTATCACAAACTGAGCATATTGGAATTAACTGAAAAAGTCCAGTGGGAGATTGACAGAGGCTGCAACAAAATGTGTCCTATTCTTGACTAGTTCATTTGCCCAGGAAGCATGAAACTTTTATCATGGAAACTAATTGAAACAACCAAATATATAACCTAGCTATTTAATGAAAGTCATCTATGACTTTGCTTTACTTTGTTTTAGAATGAAAAAGTTTGTATCACATGAGTAACCTGCAGAGTATTTGCTACAAGCTAGGTTTTCATTCTTGGCTAAGACTCTTACACAGTGTTAAAAAGAACACTACAAATCAAGAAAAATGACCATCAAGAAAAAGAAAACAATATATGTTCACATATGAAGTGGTAAGTGTGCGATGACTCTATCTGTTTAAAAATAGTCTCACTTTTCATCTCTCACACTGTAAGTAGCCATGTAATTGTGGAAGATTGCTGTCCCACTTATCTCTCCAGATGCTAGTGAACTTATGGAGAGCAAGGCTTTGAAGAATCAGCCCAAAAGAAGTATGTCCTATCCAAAACCATAAAAACCCAAGCTCTGTGGAAAGACAAAACCCCTACCATACCACCACACATGAACTTAGAAGAAGCAGAAGTTTTTTACTTCAGATTTACAAATATAATCAGTTTATAACTCAGATATTGTTAAAGTATTAAAAACAATCCCTGACTCCACAAAAGGGCATGCTCCTGACTGTGAATCTTCCAGTCAGACCAAAATGTATAAGATTTCAGTATTCGTCTGTCTTGCAAGCATGCATTATTTAATGATGACTCATTTTTGATATGAACTTTTTACGCTGAGCTAAATAGTCAAGGATCCCTATTTTAGAAAATTCTTGTTCCATCCAGAGATTAAGTCATACTAATCAAGGACAGAAAATCATTGTTGCTGCATTTTCTTCCTATTGAACCCGTTAAACCTAGATGCAGTATTTACTCCTGGTGCAAATTATCTTTTATACCAGTTACCTTTAGTTTTATTGATTATACCATTTACTTACTCAAACCCAAGGAAAAGCCACTGGAGCCAGACCCAGGACAGCAGCAGAATAATAACTCCAATGGGGAAGGCAAGAATAAACCAGGATCCAAAATTGATGCACTGGCAATCTGGGTAACGTCTGGATGAAAGTAAAAAACATGTTCAGTTGAGCTTTGCAAAGGAATGAAGACTTGTGAGAAGTGCCAGAATGTACTGCTGCAAGACAGCGCTTCTGGCTGGCAGCATGAGGTGCCCTCTGGTATGCTCTTCCTCACCCTCCCATCCTTATCTTCATGACCACTACAGGAACTAGCTGTGCCAGTTATTCGATCACTGGATCAGCAACAGATCTGGCGATCTGACATGGACTGAGATGTGTCTAACCTGAGTTCAGTAGGCAAGGGGGGGGCCACTCGTTAATTAGCATTAAGGACCATTAGGACTACAAGGAAACAGAAGTTGAAAGAAAACAGTTCTATGAGACTTTAGCACAAGAAAATAAATGAAAAAGCTTCCAATGAACACAGAAAACAACAGTGGAGATTTGTATTTTTAAAACTTCCGTAAGCAATTCAAAACTGATTAAAATCAAAATTACTATTAGTAATTTCCAGGAATATTCATTTGCTAGGTGGATTGTCTCTCCAGTCACCTTGTCTCTTTGAGGCTGTCTTAACCTACTGTTACAGATGTGGACCATTCAGCCAGAGCTTTCCCTGCCATGTGATTTTATAAAAAAAAGGAGAAAGGGGCTCTGGTTTACTGAAAGAAATTATTTTGCTCTTGAATGTGAAAGATGCTAGAGACTCAAAAGAGCAGCGTAATGAAAGCCTGTTTTACAATTTAAATTATTTTGCTCCTGAATGTGAAAGATGCCAGAGAGTCAAAAGGGCAGCGTAATGAAAGCCTGTTTTACAATTTACTTTGTGAATAGAAATTACTCTTCCCTTGAGCTCCTTCAACTCTACTGAGTGAGCTTTTAATTCTAAAGTCAGAAAATTCTAATCTCTTTAAACAGCTTCCTCCTTGATGCAAAAAAATCAGGTAGAATGGAAATAAAATGTCCAGAGAGAGTCTCTAATGACTATTTCTGATTATTAGCCAATCTTTTGTATTTCATGTCTTGCTAGAAGGAAAATAATTCTGATGGTTACATAGGTTTTTGAAGCTGTAAATGCTTATCATAAATGCTCTCTCAAGTACATTTTAGGTTTGATCTGTATTTGCTATGATGCTTAGATGTATTGCAAATAAAGTGCTAACAGGGACAAAACCAAAAGTCCTATCGTCTTCTTGAGGTGATGCTCTAAATTGCAACTGTACATAATGATGAGACAATGAAACTAGAACAATTAAAAGCATTGTGCTGTTACATTATTTATTGATTACAGGGCTATGTAGCTTTTATTACATGATTAGCCATATCAATTTTTGAATTTAAAAATTGTAAGATAGGAAAAATCTGACATAACTGTAACAATTTAGCATTCCATCATTTGCTAAAGTGTTTATGGTCTTTCCTGAAACATATGTGATAATTTCTTACTGAGCAATAAACAAGCTCTTAAAAATTTTATGCTAAAAATTCAGTTCCATCATAATATGTTAATTTATTGTGTTTATATTCCACAGTAGGTTTGTACGGGGCTGAATATTTGTGTATTTCTGCTAATCTGAATATTGCATTTAGGTATTCTTCAACTCCCGACCAAATATTCCTCAGGTAAACAGAACAATCAGTTTAAATGATTTTTCAAAATGATCTATTACATAATACTGGTTGGATTACCTGCTGTTGGATTATCTACTACAGGTCTTACCGGAGGCAAGGATGGACAGGACACACTGAACTATTTATTTTCTAGACCTATTCCCTCTGGAAAATGAAAACACTACAAATGCAATCAATAACTGGTCTTTAACATTTTGCTATGTGCAATACAAAATAGTGGGCAGAGGGTAACCAAAGGATAGTACTTTATTTTACTCCATTCAAAATTAGAGTATGCATATTTCTGGAAATAAATAGTTTGCAGAAAAAAAAAGTTCAGCAAGAACTATTGGTTTATCAAGAGCTTTGGAATTAAATCTGCCATTTTCTTTTCAAAGCAGTTCTACTTAAATATGAGAAGGAATATTAAAAAATAATTTGGAAAACCTCAAAACAAGGTGTTCCACTGAATGCAGGTTTCAGACTGGCTTGAAATTATTTTCTTTTTCATTTATTAATGGACCTAAATTCCTCATATCAACAATGCTTAGCCTCTTGTAAGTCTCTCCTGAGGGTCTTTGCTAAGCAGACCCAGATTTAACCCCTGCTTCGCTTAGAAATTAATAACAGCTCTTTACAACCTAATAGTGCCTATCTTATTCATACTAAGTAGCGCCTTCCTTCTCAGACAAGCCCATCTTTTTCCATGCAGTTACTCAAATAGTAAAGTACTACTTAACCAAAGAATGATCGTCTTCTTGTATGTGCTGGCAGATCATTTATAGCTTTTCTCTGTGTAAAGCAAATACAACCATGCAATTTCATTTTCTGTCTTTAACAAATAATTTAAAAAAGCAATAGAATCGAGTAATATCAAATCAAAGGGTAAAGTTTCTAATGCATTTTAGGCGAACCATGTGAGAGCTCAAGAGTAATGTTAGAAGTCTGGATTAAAATGAATATAAATAATATAGTCTCTTACGAATTGAAGTGCTCAGTAAAAATCAGATTAGTCGATGTTCCTGCGATTGTGGTCAGCCCTCCAATGGTAGCAGAATAAGCAATACATAAGCACATCACTTTGAGAATCCCATTGTATTTGTCCTTTCTGCCTTTTCGCTCTGCTTCAGCAGGTGGTAGGTTCTGCTTAGAAAGTATATACACCAATTAATATATATGAAGGGCTCATCATGAGGCACAAAAATAGGATTCAAGGATGCCTTAGAAGAGCAAGACAATTTGCTGGTAATACAGCTGTAAGCAGTGTGGTTTGGTTTGTTATTATAGCGGTACTGCAATTATTCATGCAAAGGAAAAGGAGGAAGAGTCAAATTCTGAAGTCCTTTTCCTGATCTGTCTTTACTGAGACAAGAACTTCCCTTATATATACTGATATATATATATATATATACACACTGTAGATATCAACTTTGTACTCTGGTGAGGTTGGTTTAACTTGTGTAAAATACACTGGGAGCACAAAACCACTAATGACATGATTATGTAAGCAAACTGTGTGTATATGTGTGACTACACATATATCTCTTATTCACGTGAAACTAGATTCATTGCTACCTGTGCCATGTTAGGTGTTGCATAGAAGTGAGATTTAGGTTAAAACTAAGTTACACTATGTAATAAAAAGACACCTTAAGTACCTGTTCATTTCCTTTTTCGTTTTCATTTTCAACTGTGCACACAGTACTAGCCACACTGTTGTTATATCTGGAAAACAAAGACATGTATTGTAATAAACAGATATTCTATTTAGAAGAATTCTTAGAGCAGAATTTAGTAAATTAATAACAATTACCCATTAACTTGCTTTTCTTTCCACTCAGTGTTTTCACATTCTCCTATGTGTTCTGTAAGACAGTGATACAAAGACAAATAAGCATTTAAAGGAGCAAAACTGGAAAGGCTCCATCAGCATGTCCCATTCCATGCAATCACTTCACATTGTCCCATGAATACATTTGTAAGTGCTGGTCTGAGAAACAGTTGAATTGTTCCCTATTCGTTCATGACTCCTATTCCCAGAATCTGAATCCTTTAATGAGGAGAAATCTTTCTAACTTATAATCAAACCGTGTAGGAAACCAGTTTAGATTCATTTGTTCTCCTAGCATTACCCTAGACACTAAAGAGCTCTTTCCTTGTGCTAACATTTAATGCTCAGTGTATCTATAGCCTGCAGTCATATTTCAGACATTCTACTAGACTGATAAGCCAGCCTCTCCCCTTCTTTCCTCCTCTCATGAAACTGCCATCTTCTGCACCTGTTTTAATCAATCTTTGTGAACATGAGAGAGCTCACACATGGTATTCCAAGAGAAGTGTCACAATGAAGCGTGCAATGACAATAGTACTTCTCCAGTCATTTAATTGTATTTCATGTGTTTTTTACTGCTGAGTGAGGGCAGGCAAGAACGGAAGCTGCAGCGCGTGCCTACCGTCCAGCTCCAGTGCTGGGTTGACGGAGCCATTAGAGCAAGACATCTCCAGTGCATCAGCTTCTACTTCAGCTCTGATGATCTGCTGAGCTACAGCCTCTACAATTGGCATCACCATGGCAGCAGCAGAGGTGTTGCTGAGCCACATCGACAAGAAAGCACAGCTAACCATGAAACCCAGCATAAGCCTGGAATAGGAGAGACGAGTCTGTGACTGCTACAGTAGCATCTCCTATCACCAGTCTATTTAATATAAATGGAAAATGTTTTCAACAGAAAGCTCGAAACACTAAAAATTTAAAGTCTGTAATTGATTTTTGAGGAAGTTTATGAATTAAAATTGATCAAAGACACTGAAATTACCATATTTTAGTGTTAAAGGTTCAAATATGTTGTCAATTGAAGTAATAATGTTTATTTACAGAATTATACTATATTTGAGTCATCTTTGAAGAAAGAACACCATATACGTCATGAATTCAAATGAGAGTTAAAATGACTATACTGCTAATGCTATTAATCTTGCATTATACAATCCAGGTCTGGATCTGAATCATGGGTCATCTACCGCCACCACCTGCGTCTCCTAGAATGCTTCCATCAACGCCGTCTCCGTTCAGTCCTAAACATCCAGTGGCCAGATTTTGTGACCAATACATCTGTTCTAGAACAAGCAGCAGTCACAAGTATAGAGGCCATGCTGATGAGAACACAGCTGTGTTGGGCAGGGCACATCTCAAGGATGAAGGACCACTGCCTCCCTAAGATCCTGCTTTATGGTGAACTTGCTACCGGCTACTGCAAGAGAGGAGCCCCAAAGAAAAGATACAAGGACTGCCTGAAACAACATCTCAGCCTTGGCCATATTGATCAACATAACTGGTCTACTCTGGCCTCCAATCAGGAGACCTGGAGACACACCATCTATAACACTGCTGATACTTTTGAGAACGCATGCAGGATCACCCTTGAGGAGAAAAGGCAACGCAGAAAGAACCGTGTTTTGCAGAATACACCATCTAAGGAGTCTTTCTGCTGTGCCTTTTGCAACCGGACATGCCTGTATCGTATCGGCCTTTTCAGCCACCAACGCGCTTGCAACAAACATGGGTAGAGCCCTTCCCAAATCTTCATTCGTGAAGCCCAGCCATGATGATGATGATGATGATACATCATCATCATGGAGTTATCTCTTTGTCTATAAGTCCTCTAGATACCAGTCCAGTTGTTATGGGAAGAAATATTAACAATTCAGTAAATGGTATTTAGTTCTTAATCAGAACACCAAGCCAGGCACAGGGATTATTGGGGCTTCAATAAACATCTTCTTTGATATTAAAAGGGAAAGGGAAGGTCATTAGAATGCCTTAGTCTGGTCTTGGCACAACTTTTTCAAGTTTACTACAAATAGGAATTGCATCTGTGCAATTCCTGATTGGACTGATGCAATACACTGAATTGTATCAATGACTGAAAAATCAAACATTCCATGTTGTATCTGGTGAAGTTGGACTGTAAATTTAGAATACAGGCCGCAAAGTCATTTTACTGCATTTTTTGGAGTTGTGAATGCGAACAGTCCTCTTGACTTCCTGTTCCAAGGTGCTGTCATTGCCATTAAACACCTGCCGTGCATCACCACAGTGAGAGACCAGCTGAGTAGAGGGATGGTGGTGGTGCAGCATTTTCTCAGAAGTCATCTGTGCAATTTGTAAAGCTCTTTGCCCAGCCTTGATCAAGAGCTCCACAAAGAAATGGAAGGTCTACTTAGCACATGAAGCCAGTATAAAAATTACATAAAAATCATGTAAACATTATTTTATTATGTAAAAATACTATTCAAAATGTCTCTCATAGCCTTTCTTTTCAGCCATTAGCAGCAACATTTCAAACTTGATTTTTTCTCAGCAGAGGCACCTTGTTTTTTCTCTGTGAGCTTTTAATTGCATAATGATAAAATGATCTGTAGACTTGCAAGATGTGGACCGGATTTAACAGAAATTGTCATCAATAAACCCCACTAATTTAGGCAGTTTTCGGTTAGGTTGTCAGACAGACGCTCTAGAAGAATTGTGTTTTTAGGACGAATTCTTATGCAGAAATTACTGGTCAGGATAAGCACACTGAATATGAATTTTCAAGCTGTAGAAAAATGCCATTTTAGTAGAACTTGCAGGGGAGGTTAAAAACTAAAGCAAATTAAGGAATTCACTAACATGTTTCAAAACTGTTCAGCATAAATTTCCAGCATTTGATGGATTGATGATCATGTGACCATTTGGTACAATGTAGTGGGCTCTAATGAGGAACTCTGAAAGTGATGACAAAATAGTAAAATATATTCTATCCTGTTCAGCCTCTGCATTCAGTTTTTCTGCATTATTTTCTCAGTGGTATCGTTAAAAAAATATTTTGCATGGAACCTTGGATGATAATTTCATTTACATTTAAGTATAAAGTCACTTTTGGCTATGTAGTACACAATTAATGTTTCATTACCCATTCTAGTCCTTGCAGGCTGCATAGACATATTCACCTTTCTCTGCTAGTTGCAGACCAGACTGCATGGTGCAAATGACAGGAGGTCTTTACAGATTCATAGAATCATTTAGATTGTAATAGACCCTTAAGACCATAAAGTCCAGCCCTAAACCTAACACTGCCAAGTCCATCACTAAACTATGTTCTTAAGTGCCACATCTACACATCTTTTAATTGTCCCCAGGGATGGTGACTCAATCACTTCCCTGGGCATCCTGTTCCAATGCCTGACCAACCTTTCACAGAAGAAATTTTTCCTGACCAACCTTTCACAGAAGAAATTTTTCCTGACCAACCTTTCACAGAAGAAATTTTTCCTATTAACAAATCTAAACCTCTCATGGTCCAACTTGAGGCCATGTCTTCTCATCCTATCACTTTTTACCTGGGAGAAGAAACTGACCCCCACCTGGTTACAACCTCCTTTCAGGTACTTGGAGAGAGTCGCCCCTGAGCCGCCTCTTCTCCAGGCTAAACAACCCCAGCTCCCTCAGCCGCTCCTCATAAGACTTGTGCTTCAGCCCCTTCACCAGCTTTGTTGTCCTTCTCTGGACATGCTCCAGCATCCCAATGTCTGTCTTGCAGTGAAGGGCTCAAAACTGAACACGGGATTTGAGGTTTGGCCTCACCAGTGCTGAGTACAGGGGGACAATCACTGCCCTGGTCCTGCTGGCCACACTATGTCTGATATATATTTGTTTCTCCAGAAGAATGCATAATGAAAAATCCAGAAGTCTCCTGCTATTCTACTTTCACTGCTGCACCCCCTCATGACCTCTAATGCAGAAACCTCCTCCAGTGGTATCTCTACCTTGAGCAGGATGAGTCTCCAATGTACACAGGCTGGCTGGGGACTGCTGCAAGCAGCAGAGGACAGCTGGTGCAGAGAACAGCACCACCACTGCTGTGGGCACCACTAATGAGCAGCAGATGCTGAGAGATGGGTAGATCCTTCACCAATTGTCTTATCATAATCTTATTATCCCTTTGTCATGATCAGGAAATGTGATGAGCTAGTTATGAAGGATACTGCTTCCTCAGGGTTACAACGCTCTCTGTGGAGTTTCACAGCATATTCTGAGTTGGAATATGTGGGATGATCCGTAAGGATCATCAAGTCCAACTCAAGTGAATGGCCCATACAGGGATCAAACCCATGGCCGTGGCATTATTAGCACCATGCTCTAACCAACTGAGCTAATCTCAGGAGTTACTCTAGGTCTCCTCAGCAGCTGGCTGCAGGTTGGATTACCCACAGCAAGTTCCCCAGCAATGTTCAGCTTAGCATGGCACACCATCCACTTGTGTCCTCCCTTTCAAGATTTTGGCCAAAAGGTGAGAAGTCAGCTTTAGGAGTGATCAACCAAATAGAAGTCGAAACAACTAAATCTACATAGCTCAAGAATACAGCCAAAGATAAAGGAAGGCAGTAGAAGAAGATTGTAAGGATCATTTTGTCAAAACAGAAAGCTACCAGTTATCAAAACATGCAGAACCTAAGCAAAATAACTGTGATATTTATAATTAGGTCAGACAAATCACTGAGGAATAGAAATAATCCAGCATTTCCATGAGGTGCTATTAGTTAGACCATCTCGTTTTTTAGACCTGGGGTTTCTGATTTTCTGACCTTTTGCTTCCTGTCAGTCTGTTTCCTGGCAAGGAGTCATGAATATGATATATTCTGGGAAGCCAAACTTGCTCTACAAATCTTATCTGCAGCCTTACTGGTGTGCTGACAGGTGCACCTCTGGGCCTAAACCTTTTCTGCAAGTTTGTAAAGCAAGCAAAGAGTTTTCACTTCATAAGATATATGATGATAGCGAGTAAGCAGAGAGTGTGATTTCATTTCCCTCATCACCTCATCCATCTGGGGAAGTTCTTCTCTTTTGATAGTTTTTTCATAGGTAGACAAAGGAAAAAAACATAGGTAAAGACATTGTACTTAATGTGTACAAAAATACATTTTTGGGAATGTCCAGAATTTTGAAAACACTATTGAAATAAAAATTAATAATCAGCATAAAACAGATTTTATATTGAAGACATTGGGTATGAATGTTCCAAACACCATCAAGAAACAGGACCCCTATATTATTCACAAATTAACCATTCTTTTTGTCCAGAAGGATCCTTATTATGAACAGAATCACTGAAAGGGAACTTTCAATTAGGACCTCAGCAAAATAATAAAGTGTCACCTGGAAATCAATCATATCAAGTCAAATATCTACTTTGAGTAGAAAAGAAAGGCTGAATTTCTACTACTGAAAAAGCACTAGGCAATTATTTCTGGAATACGTAGATTTCCACAAGTATTATTTCCTTCAAGACATTGTTTAGCACATACCATGCAGGCTTGACACCCACCAGCATCACCATTCTTAAAGCCACTCTTTTGTGCAAATTCCATTTTTCTATTGACGTTGCCAAGCAAATTACTCCAATCAGCAGCAGATGAAAGTCTTTAAAATAAGAAGATGCCACCTGAAATAAGAAAAAAAACCCAAAAACCAAAAAATCCAACCAACCAAAAAAAAAAACCAAAACCAACCTTTTTTTTAATCAAATGATGAATTTCTGATAGTATTTGGTATTATCAATTTAATGGAAAAAAATACAGTAATATTATATACTGAAATAAATATCAGGAAAATTTTTTGACTTAAAATTAAACTGTTAAGTTCATTAGAACTGTTAATTTCATTTAACCAAATGTTGCAAGAGTAAATGCACGAAAGTGCATATTGTTAAAACAAAATAAAAAATAGGGCTTATGATAGAACAACCTAAAATTATCAGTCACATCTCGCATATAGACTAAATCACCAATGAAATATTGCTTTTATTACTTTTGTCATCTGTTCAACAAATACAATAACAACTTTAAACATAGAGTATGGTGTCATCACTTTGACATGAAGATGTATTTTGCATATGGGGTTGCACTCAGCATTTTGCATGGAGTCATTAGTATGACACCTCACATCTGTAACATTAAGATATTTTATATGTAACTAGCATTTTTCTATTGACTGGCATCTAAGCACTCATAATACAGAAAAAAGTGTTAAAGAAATACAAACAAGTCCTGAGGACAAAGCATGTAAGCAAATTTTGAGGTAGAACTACTGTGGTTGGCACTCCATAGATTAGCCTGACAGGTTTCAACATTATGCATTTCTTTCTTTGAAGTTTTGATCCTTGATATCCACAATATAAAAGAGAGAAAAGAAAGATTTACCTCCTTGGATCCCATTATACCAAACAATGGGAACATAAAGGCAGGGAGCAAAGCTGAAACAGCCAGTGGCAAAGCTTCTGTGAGCCAAAAGATGGCAACCACAAACAACGTGTATGCACATTCTGCTTCCTAGAATACAAAAGGCACCAACAAAAATATGAGTTGATAATCCAGTGGAAAAAATCACAGCTATGTCAATAGAGAGATTCCCCACACCTGGAAAAAGTATGAGTCAAGGGACCTGATTTTTCTAAGAGGTAGTAAAATTATTTAAATTCTACGACTTAGGAAAGGTAGGGGAAAAGTCAGCTGCCTAATCCTTCAAGGACAATTAATCACACAGGTCATTCTGGAGCATTCTCAGGCCATGAATTACCATAAATCACAAACATTCTCTATATGCAAGCAAGCCTTTAAGCCTCTAGGAGAACTCACAGTCAAGTTTTGTCTCTCCTGTAATCAGTGAAGTTTTTTCATCAATATCAATAAGGCAAGGATATGATCTAATGTAAAAAAGCTTTGTGCAAGACTGACAAGAAACACAGCTGTTGTTTTTAAGACTTGTAATTTTAATGACTGTCTTTTATTTAAACTCCTGAAAAACAAGAGTTTTTTCTATTTCTTTTTTTTTTTTTTTTTACCAGGAGAATCTTTTTCAATGCTGCTTGTAAAATGCAGGTGAAGTAAGTCTAGTTTCTTCTAAAATCCTAGAAACTTCTTTTGTGTGTTTTTGATTTCTATTTATGCTTTTAAGGAAAATGGCTTTTAGTGCCACTGGTTAGGGTATGAAACTGCCCAACAGCAGCACAGATGATTTGTACTGGGAAAGGGAAAGCTGAATGATGTGGCTCTTGGAACCTTTGACTGGTAAAACAACAATGTTAAATCTAAGTCAGTCAGCTATGACTATCATTTATTTTTTGAAAGAAGTTTTTGTTATGTATTAAACAATTTGAAAATGTCAAAATTCATCTAGCAAATGTTCATCTTACTCAAGTCCTACCACATTAAGAATTTCCTGTGAGTTTCCTCCTGAAAAGGAAACTGAAATATTGAAACTGTGATGTGAGTGTGAAGCATGTTGCTCTGTAATCACTATCTGTGATGCAAGCATTTCTGAAATTAACTTTCATGTATTGTCACACGTGATATGTATGATTATGTATAATGCACATGTGATAACGCATCACGGGAGAACTCCATTTCATTCTACTGACATCAGAGCTATACCAAATAGAATCATTAACAACATCTTTGATAGCTGTTTCATCAGCTTGGAGTTGTCAAAAGAATAGTGAATGCCTGAAGAATTTATTCCAAGTAAAATAAAACTAAGATATCCTGCCACAGACTTTTCTTTATCTAGGAACTAGAGGAAATTTATCAGGTCCTTGACTTCAGTCATTTACTATCAGACAGGACAATATGTGATGAACTTAAAATCCTTCATGAAACAAAAAAGTAAATGCAGCTCTCTTCCTGACAGTTCATCTTCACTGTCAGTCATACAGAGCTGTTTAAAAGTGTCCAAAAGGTAATAGCAAGGACAGGATTTTCAATGTAATCTAGATGATGTTAAATGGGAAAAGCACTTCTGAACAAGAAAACAAATATGTGACTCAGAGTTTCATGAATCCAGTACAGAATTTTACATTGAAGCTGTCTTCTCTACAATTCTATGCCAATACACTTTGACAAAAAAAAAATCAAAATGAAAACATAATGAATTTATTCAAGATCCCTTCCAACAGAAACTATCTATGATTCTATGAATCTTAAAAGATCTGGGAATCTGTCTTTACATACAGGTGCAAAATAATTACGTCTCAAAGCAGGTCACTTACTTTGGTTTTGATGATAAGTGGGAGTGGAAGTAAAAGTAGTGGAGTGAGGACAATGAGCAGCAACCTTCGGTAAACCAAGAGGTAGCTAAGAATCTTCATGGTTGATGGTTGGTAGATGAATTTTCCTGCAGAAACTGCCAAAAAACTGGTCTGACTTTAAATAGCTGACTCTGATTAATATTTTTCCAAGCTATCACCTTTAGCCATTGCTAAAGCAGGCCAGTAAAGCAAGTTAAAATTAAATCTTGATCTTTATTGTTTTAGTGAGTTTATTAACAGTAGGTTGATAAGATAAGTGTTCATCATAAACCAAGGCTAGATGTCAACTCTAGCAGGACTTTCTCTCCCTGCCCTTCCTCACAACAAGTTTATATAATTAGAGCAGGTTTTAGACAGCTAGAAAACTAAAAACTTCAGGTGCTCTCCCAGTCACTGTCGACTTCAGTAAGAAGTCAAAACATATAACATACATAGAATATATATTCAAAACCAATTGTGACATTGTGTGAAATCATATGCAAGATAATTATATTGAAAAGAATTAAAAATTCTTCCTTGTCGTCTCCATCTGTGGAGATATTCAAAACTTGACTGGACAAGATCCTGAGCAATCTGACCTGAACTTTGCTCTGCTTTGAGGAAAAGGTTGGACTAGAGAACTTACAGAAGGCCCTTTTAACCTCAATTTCTCTGTTGTTTCTGTCTGTCTAGAATTTAAACTATATGAAAAAAATTGAGGGGAGGAGGGGGTTTCTGTCTTGCCAGGCAGGGAGTATATGATAGCTCATTTTCTCTTCTCTTGCAGAAAGAGGATGAGGTTTTTTATGTACATCATATAAAGCTTTGAGGAAGGCTAGGAGTAGACGAGTTTTTAAGGCAAAAGTAAAAAATAAAAAACCCCCTTTTGCTTGAATTTTCCTGTTTTTCAATAAAAGAAAACTTGGTACAGTCTTTGTAATACAACAAACTAGCATCAAACAAAGAACAGGAAAAGATAGGAAAGAGGCTTGTACACTATCTATGGATGAAGATCAAAAGGGGAAAGAACACAGTGTTTTGTGCTCAAGATCTTACATGAAGCAGAAAATCGGAAGAGGAGACAGATGAAGAAGTCTTTGAGTTATCTTCAGGACTATCCAAAGGCCAGGTAATAAAGGTGAATTTTTACTATCCATATAACTTTTTGATTATAAGAATCCATGTGTCAGGGTACAGACAAACCAAGCGATCAGATTGCCAGTGTTGGGTACAAATGTCTGGCTTCCGGAAGGTAGGACTTTGGTTATGGGAAAGTAATATTTCATATCTGTCAGGAAGGAACTGACTGAAAAACCAAAGGTGGGAAATAAATTGGGGATGAAAGTAATAATGAAATAACAGCCTTTGCTACTGGGCAATTGGGAAAAAAGCTTTGTCACAACCTAGGGAGCTGAGACTGAGACCTTCTGAGAAGATAATGTAAGGAATTAAAGATGTTAAGTGAACTGGAAACTTTTGAAATGGACTGTTCTAAATATATAATGATGAAACTTGTTTAAAGAGTTCAGGAACAGAGAGCAAAGAGAGACGTTATGTGCCTGTATCAGGAAATCTCCAAATATCCAAAAATAAAAAAGAAATTGTATGATATCTGGAAAACATTGCATGTGCTTGAGGACTGCTATAAAGGAATAACAAAAATTTAGACTAATAAATTCAGGAGGATTTTGATGTGAAATATATTTCAGTTGGAGATGTCAAAGAAAAGTTCTGTTAAAATGTCAGAACTAAGAAGAAAACAGAGGAGAGTAAAGGGATTTAGTAAGCAAAAGAGAAGACAAGCTGCAGACAGTGCTGGAATATTCAACACTTTCTTTGCTTGAGTCTTCACAAAGGTAAATGACAGTCAATTAAATTAATTTTGACATGAAAAAGGGAGTGCACTGTGGGCACAGTGCTGGTGGGAGTAGTGAATATTTAGATTTAATATATGTATTCAAGTCAGCAGTTCCAGATGAAATTCACCCATAATTCATGGGTGATAATTCATACAGTAATCTGAGAAATATTTTAGAATACATTTGAATACATTTTGTTATGCCATATATTTGGAAAACTGTGTAGTACTACAAGTTCCTAGAAAACTGGTCACATAAATGGAAACGAAATATGGCTAATATGTCACACGAACTCAAACTATTTTTCTCTTTCTATGAGACAACTAACTTAGTGACCAAAGATGTAAATTGCATGCATTTTATTTTACTTTAATAATCTTTTTAGGTGAATTAAGGGTAATTCATAAGGATAGAAATAATGCTCTAGGGGAAATTGTGTCTGTGTGCACAAACGATTTAAAAAAAGTTGTTCTTGAAGAGCAGTTGCAAATGTTTTTTATTCATACTTAGAAGACATTTCAAATCTGGTCCTTAAGGGGTCTATTCTGCTTAATTTTCTATCCCATATTTTTTTTAGTGGTTTGAATCATAAACTAGTAATCAGCAGGACAAAGATTAAAATAATACTTTCTAACCAATACTAGATAAAAGCTGCTTTTTCAGCATTCTCTATAGCAAAATGCTGTGTGGAGATAGGGGTGTACATTTCAGAAAAAAAGAGAAAAGAGGAAAAACTTCCAGTACTAATTCAAGTAAAATATTGCTGATGGAACAGTAGAAATAGTCCTGCAGAATAATCATTGAAATTCTCAAGCTTGTCTGCAGGTCCCTGGTCTGAGATCTGCAGTCAGCCACCACCAGAGATGGCCAGGGCAGAACTAGGAGTTAAACCAAAGAGGTTTACTTCCAAACTTATGCTGTTTCTGGAGCAATCAGGCTTTTACAGGTAACCTGAGAATGGATCAATACTTTGGTTGTTGATTGATACTTAGGTAGATAATGAATTTGCAGTGTAGTAAGTTTAGTGAAGGAAGGCTGAAGTCTTTCTGAAAGACCATGGAATTTGGCAGAAAACTTTCCTAACAGGCAGGAAGAAGGAACAAGCAAGGGTATACAAAGCTACTTACAAGAACCTAAACATACAGCTCTGCATGTGAAGAGGAAAGGGATTCTAATGTGATTTGAGGTATTACTGAATGATTATGAAAAAAATAATAAATTCAGTTTGAAAAATAAGGATGTATTTGCAACAATGGGAAAAAAAATTTAAAAAGAGAGGAAGTTTGTAGGGAGAATGAATGTTTCTTGTTATACTACCCACTGTTAGCTGGTCTGGGTCAGTACTGATCCCTTAATCCCTAGCCTTCTTGGAATGCTTAATTTACTTTTGTTATGTCTTGAGTTAACTGTGGACAACTCCTGTGTATTTTCTCAGTAGCTGAATTGAGTTTTGTGGTTCATCTTTTCACATGAATGATTCTTTTATGCTGAAGCTTTGTCTAGATAGCTGTATTAGCAGCTTGACTGAGGACTACTATTTCATACTTGAAGAAGGGGTTGTGTGCTCAAAACCTCATCATTGTCTGGAAGCAGAAGTGTTTGAGAAAGAGGAAAGAAAAATTCCAAAAGCTGATTTTTCCATAAAACAGATAAAGATCAAAGGCTTGTATGAAAGATCCAGTTATGGGAAATGAAATGGCAAGATGGGCATCATCACACCCCAATAGATATGATCAATAAGACACTAGTCACGTCCCCATTGGTTAGAAAAAAAAAGAGAATCTCAAACTTTCATAGGCATTATGAGATTCTGTAGAATGCATATTCCATGTTACAATCAGTTTGAGTCTTCTCTATTGAGTGATCTATAAGAACTCTTTTGACTGAGACTCTGAGCAACAACAAGCCATTGCACGGATCAAACAGCATATAGTTCATGTAGTAGCCCTTGGGCCAGTCCAGACAGGACCAGATGAGAGAAATATGCTACTGCCAGGAAGCATGACTCAGCTGGAGTCTCTGGTAGAAAACACCTTCAGAAACCCAAGGTCAGCGTCAAGGGTGTTGGAACTATGGATATAGGGCAATTTTCTGAAAGACCTGACAGTTGATGAGTAATGTGAAAAATAACATATCATTTGATTTGCATATAATCAAGAATCATGTGAACCAACAGAGAATGAGCCTTGCAAGAAGATAGGCAAATATGGCAATGACCCAACCTGAGCCAATAATTAAATAAAATATGTCATCTTTCCTGTCCTGAGCAACCACCATAACACATGAAGCCCAAGTCATGCATTAAAGAACTCAATGGACATTTTATGAACATTTTACAGGGATGATCCATAGACTAAGGGAATGATATCTGTGTATATATATCATGTGACGGGAAGGAGTGGGGTGCTTAGTAAGGTTGTATTGTAAGACTTGATCATGACATACATTATATGGACTGAAAGGTGGAAATTGCACTGGGGTAGATGGATTTTGTTCATGGTAGCGTGTATGGTGCTGGTTTGGATCATGTGACGTTTTGGAAATCTGACTAAAAATGTAGATAACACACCTGCGTTTTGGTTATTGCTGGGAAGTCTTGACACAGCATCAAGATATTCCCACTTTGGCCTCCCAGCACGTAGGCTGGGGGTGTTCAAGAAGTTGGGAGCTGACACAGCAAAGGCAGTTGACCCAAACTGATCAAACAGGATATTTCCTGCCACATAAAATCATGCTTAGTAATAAAAAAAGAGGGGGAGAGGTATTATAGGACAGCAGACATTGCTCGGAGGCTGGCTGGGCATCAATCTATTTGTGGGAGGTGGTCGGTGATTACCTTTGCGTTAATTGTTTTACTTATTTTTTTTTTACTCTTTCCTTTGCTTATTAAATATTTTCAACCCACAGATTTTCTCACTTTTGCTTTTCCTATTCTGTCCCCTGTCCTACTCGAGTCAGAGCTGGCGAAAGCGGTCAACCCACCCCACCTTGTCAATGGCCTTGTAACTTACATTACCTCTCTACCATCCCCTGCAGTTATCTTTTGATTGTCACGGACACAGCGGTAGTATTACTGTACAAAGCCAAGAGGAACACTTTAGTTATGCAATACTTCACGGGAATTTCAAAGCATGCAGATTTTAGTACAATGTTCAGCAGGGCAGGATCTGTAGAAATGTGGAGGGGGAAAAAAGTCAATATTTCCTTGTCAAAGGTTGATCATATGGGATTAGCAGAA